GCTTTATTTTTACATTTTTCAATCTTTTTCGATCTTTTTCATCGCGCTGTGATGACGTCACATACGCGCTTTCATCGACCGCGATTTTGTCGTCCGCGGTTTTGTGGTAGAACCTGCTGCAAGGGCCATAAGAGCCAGGACAGTTCGTAAGTCACTTCCCCCCCCCCCCACAGGGCTGTTGTAACTTTGAATGGTCACTGAATGAATGGTTGTAAGTCAAGGATCTGCCTCTAAAAAAAAAGAAGAGGCAGATTTAATCTCTTCTAGTTAAGGCTTTACTCTTGCCTGCTCAGGTTGAATGAATGGAAAAAAATGATGCTTTGGTACGATGGGCTGAGGAAGCAGGGAGATGGATGAATAAAAATGTGATATGAAAATATGTACCTGGACCCCCTGATGCTTCTGTCTTCCTTTGGAATCACCATGCAAATGACCAGTGGGTCAAAGAGATGTGCTTTTACAGAAGCAACTGGACTTTCTTGCTTTGTCTTTGAAGACGTTTCATTTCTAATCCAAGAAGCTTCTCCAGCTCTGACAGGACAGTAGTGGGGAATGGAAGGATTTATGTTCCTTGCAGAAGCTGGTCGTCCTTTTAGAGAACCCTTGAAGCACTTGGAGGTTTATCTTGGTTTATCTTTATTAGATAAACCTCCGGGTGCTTCAAAGGCTCTCTAAAAGGATGCGGATTGACAGCTCTCTGCAAGGAACGTAAATCCTTCCATTCCCCACTACTATCCAGTCAGAACTGAAGAAGCTTCTTGGATGAGAAGTGAAATGTTTTCAAAGAAAAAACAAGAAATTCCAGTTGGCTTCTGAAAAAGCCCCTTTGGGACAACCATGACCTGGGTGACTGAGAATCTCTACAGACTTCCAGAATTGAAGTGGTTCCTTTTCTCTCCAAGATTTACAGGTAGCCCTCAACATATGACTATAATGGAGCCTGCCTGTTGCAGTTGTAAGTCACAACAGTCATAAAATGGGTCAATCATGGTGTGATTGATCTGTTTTTACGCCCCGTTTATGTGCCAGTTGTAAATCAAATGCTGCAATTTTAAACAAACGCTGTGGTTGTTAATCAAACATTGGTCGTTAAGCGAAAACTGCAGCTGTTAAGCAAATGCTGCAGTCTTTAAATGAACCGCATGTTCATTAAGTGAAACAGTTGTTAATGTAGCTGTATTATTGAGCATCCAAAGTTTAATCACATGAACACACAGGGACCCCACTGTTGAAATTTTGAATCTAGGTTATAAGTCCCCTTTTTTGTGTTAGTCATAACTTGAGGGATTGCTAAGGGATCGGTCATAAATCGAGGACTATCTGTAAAATGGAAAAACCCATAGTAACTGGTTTTGTGGACCTTTTGAGTTGCAATGCTGTGATTGCTGCGGCAGGAAACTGCAGCCAACAATTATGAAATTTACTAGTGCCGCTTATTTTCTCTCCATTGGTAACGCAGCAATTCTAATCAATCATTGCTGATTTCTGGCAATGAAGGTATTTTTTTATTATTATTTTGAAATATTAGGAGATTTAAAAGGGAATGGTCATCTGTCCCCATCAACTTTGATTTCTATGAACGTAACCATATAATCTTTTGCAGAGAGACATTTTTGGAGGATACAGCCATCCCAGAATCTGGTTTCTTTGGAGCCAGCCCAAACCCTCCGCTTCTGGAATGGACTCCCCCCAGATTTCAAGTCAATTGATGCTGCGTATGAACGTGCCAATGACAGCCAGATCGTGTTTTTTATTGGTGAGTGTGGCAGATTTATTCAGGAGAGTCTAATACTAATGCAAAAGGTGGCTAAAACAGGAAAAACCAGCTTAAGATCAAGTTTTTAGAGGTCTTTTAATTAATCTGCAAGTCAGAATCCAGAAAGGTTTAAGGTTATATGATTCTTCTTCGGTCAGCCATTTTAATGCCCAACTCTCACACCCGTACATAGGGAATAGGGAAACTATTGTTCTAAGTAGCCTGTTTTTTTGTATGAATATCAATATCTCTGCTTTCCCATGGAGATGATAGCCTGCTTCCTTTTCCAGGGGGAAGAGACAGACAGACAGACAGACAGACAGACAGACAGACAGACAGACAGACAGACAGATACATAGATATCTGGGGGAGCTAGGTAATAGATTTTAAAAATATCTGTCTGAATGGACAAGAGGAATAAAATGCATGTGGCCCCAGTAGAAGTTATTTATGGAATCGAATGTGCATCTCTGTTACAGAATTAATTTCTTGTTTCCTCATCTTTGCAGGGTCCTCTTACTGGGTTTTTTCCGACACTCGAGTCAATGAAGGTTACCCCCGTCCCATATCAGATCTGGGGCTCCCTCGCAGCACTGTAGTTGGGGCTGTGTTTGTTTGGCCTCACAATGGTAAGACGTATCTCTTAGAGAAGGACCGCTATTGGCGCTACGATGATAAGTTGGGGCACGTGGAACCAGGATATCCGAAACCTGTCACTCTCTGGAAAGGAGTCCCGTCTGAGCTCGATGATGTCACTCATTGGAATGATGGTATGTTCTACTTTCTCAATTGCAGCAACTTTTAAGATGTGTGGACTTCCACTCCGAGAATTCCCCAGCCAGTAACCTAAAGTTGCTGAGGGCAAAAAACAGCATGCTATGGCCTACTATACTGTATGGAGTCTCCAACAAGCCTGTTCAGGGCTGGGTTCCGGCTGCTGCTACTGCCAGTTCGCTCAGGGATGCACTGCATGCACTTGCTGTATGTTACTTTCGCATGCACAGTAGTAAAAAAAGGCTTCTGCGCATGCGCAGAAGCCAAAAACAAGATGGCGGTACCTATGGCACCATTGAGAGAACTGGTTCGGGGATGTGGCAGGCCAAGTTACTACCTATTCGGCCAAACCGGTAGGAATCCACTTCTGAGCCTGTTCCAGACTTTAGTTTTTTTGTCCCAATAATTATTAGTGACACTCAATTGCAGAAATTTGCTGTTTGGGTCCCACATATCAACGCACTGAACTATGCAGAATTTGGTACCAGGTAGAGGTTGTCTCCAACTTGCAACCATTTGTTTAATAATCCTTAGCATTTGGTGTACATATATTTATGGATGGTTGCAGTGTCTTGGGGCCATACGATTACTGTTGTGACCTTCTGACAACCAAAGTCAATGGAGAAGTTGGATTCACTTAACAACCCCGTTACTAACTTAACAACTGCAGTGATTCCCTTAACAACTAGGACAAGAAAAGTTGTAAATGGGGCAAAGTTCACTTAATAAGCATCTTGCTTAGCAACAGCAATTTCGGGCTGACTGTGGGCATAAGAACAACCTGTATTGAGTCTTTGACTTAATCATTCTCCCAGCAGTGCCAAGAATAACTGTCAGATACTGAGGCTCATCTTCGAAAATAAATTCACAGGGGAAAAAAGCAGGCCATATTTAAATGAGCATCCAGTTAACCAACTTCAATAGAATAGAAAAGATAGTAAACTAGAAAATCACAAGGGGGAGGGCAACCTCAAGTGAAATGAATAAAATTCTATATCTGAGAATTCCTAAATTTAAGCGATAAAAAGTTTAATGGTAAACGTCAAAGGATATTCAGAAATGGAACTGTGGGGCCCTATTGGCATTTTTCTTCGGTCCATCATTTAATTTAAAAATGCCAGTGATGTGAGGAATTGTTCTATATTCCAAAATCCTTCCCATGCCCATTTCAGTTAAGTAGTCTATGTCACAGGTGAAATATTTTAAAGGATATTACCAAACTCCCCCAGGAGTTATTTATCTTTCCAGTCTCTTAAAATTCATTCCATTTTCTTTAAATCATCTTCCAAGCTGAAGACGTCTTCCTCTCTTTGTACTAAAATATGTGTCTAGTACAAGTTAAAAGAGGCGAAAAAGTGGTCTCAAAAACAACCAAGGAAATTTAACATGATCCAATGTTCACAATCAAATCCTGATGCATTTATTTCCATAGTGAAGCATTGAGCCACTTAATAATCCAGGAAATTTAGTGGTCCAATCAAATATGCTCCTCCAAATTCAGGGACAAAAGGAATGCCATATTCATCCATTCATTCATTCTTCTTTCCCTTGCAGGCCACACATACTTCTTCAAGGATACTCATTACTGGCGCTTTAAAGGTGGAAATGTGGAGGCCGATTCAGTCCATCCACGCTCCATTCCCCGCGACCTGATGTTTTGCTCAGATCCTACCACCATCTCCCCCAGTGGACCGAAAACTGGGTTTAAAGGGGAGGATGGTTTATGCCTCTGTAAGTCAAGTGGACAAATCAAAAACTCCTCCTTAGCTTGGATCTTGATTCTGCTTTGGATGATATGCTGATTGCTAGGTTAGCTATACGACTATGCACTTTACATTATAAAGAGGAGATGAAACAGTGGGGAAAATACAGTATTCCCTAGCAAAAGGTACAGGATACTTTTTTCTTTATTCTTTTGGTGCTCTCAGTATCCAATACCGACTTGGAGGCTAAGCTCCCATGCTCAGTTTCTGAAAAAGAAATGCTTACCTTAAAACTAACTTGGAAGTTTTAGATCCTAATCGTGAATATGTGATAATATAGTTTCTCAGGTGTGAAGAAAATGCATTCTGGGCATGCTCTGGCGTGCTGGCCTTTCTGATTCTGTCACATACCAAAAAGCTCCAATTCACCATTAATTAATGAAACCCTTTGAACTTTCCCTGATGGGAAGCAGATGAGTGTTTTTGTCAGAATACACAGAGTGTGGCTTTGTGAGACAACCCAGGAGCAAATACAGCAAACAGAGGTTTGTATTTAAATAGTAGTTTTATCTACAAAGAATATATACATACACATACTTTAGTCAGACCTCAAACAAATAGCAAACAGCAATTACAGCATGGAAGCACACACGGAGAAAGAGCTATATGCCCCAAAAAGGTCTTTTATTATTGCACTCTCTTAAAGTTATATTAGCCCAAATGACTCATTCTCAGTATTACAACATTGTAGCAGCTGGTCAGCTCTTAAAACATTACCCTGACAGTTTTGGCTCAGAATTGGCTTTAGGATGTCACCAGAGGTTAGAGACCGGAAAGAACCACCTTTTATAAAAGTAAGTCTAGCCTGTGAATAAGATTATCATATTTTCTCCAATAAATAAGAAGAATGTGAGAAAACCAGGGGGTGAGGAGTATCTCGTGAAAGTATCTCATCCCCATGGACATTGACATTGTTACATTGTGTACTCGCAATTATGGTCTATGTATATTTGTGGGATAAACGCTATTTGGGACTTCTCAGGATTCTCTCAATTCTAAGCGAAGAGCCCAGGAATATTGGAGGAAGTTAATTTAAGATGATTTAAAATCTTCTTGGAGATGGGGGGAGGGAAGAAAAATCAGCCAGGAAGAAATCAAATGCGTATTACATTTTAATAATAAAACCCAGAAGAAAACCATCCTGAGATTCCTGGCTTGTTTTTACTGTACAGTCTCATTTTCTAAGACAAAACTCAGAGTATCCCACCTTCGTCGCCAATATTATATTCGATGGGGTGGCAATGACTGAGGCAAGGCAGGACTTGGCTAACAAGGCTTTATTAAACAGCTAACGCAGCAGCAACTCCAGAACCCAAGATTAAGAACAGTTCCCACTTGACAGCAATTTATATGCAGGCAGTCCCAGAGTTAGCCAATCAGAGAATGGTGACTCTCCCACTCTGGCACACGGACGCACCTTGACCAATGGTGAGCCTCGGTGACGAAGCCACGTTTCCGAGGCTAAGACATAATACCCCTCTCCTCCAGTCAGGTGAATGCGTAATCCTGCAAATATGCAGGCTGCTTGCGCGTTCGGTCTGATCTTCTTGGCTCGTCTGGAACTGACACTGTAGAAGGGAAAGGAGAAGGCTTATCCAGGGGAACTGCCTGCGACTGCGCTAACTCTCCACCTGGCGACTTTGGATGCGACTCTGATGGCTCAGGTGAGTCTGGCGCCGGAAGACCAGACCACCAGGTCGGGCAATGCTGCGCTTCAACGGAGGTGTCCAGAGTAACCGGGGGATCTATAGGACCAACTGGGAAGAGATCAGCTGGTATCTGGGTCGAGGCCATCTGTGGTCACAGCTGATCAATGTGGTGGCGCCAAATGCGCCCATCGCCTAGGCCAACCCTGTAAGAGCAAGGACCCGTTAATTGCAGAATGCGCCTCGGTAACCATCTCAGCTCACCCCCATAGTTCTGTGCAAAAACCAGATCCCCCATTTCAAAATCCCTGGCGGGGTCATCGTTGTCGATAGGTTTGTCATTGCAGTAGGTGGGGTTAAATCGATCAAGGTTAGTCTGGAGGCGGCGGCCCATTAACAATTCTGCAGGGCTGTGGTTAGTTAGGGGACATGGAACTGTGTGCTGTACTAACAGGTATCTGTCAATTTGGGCCTGCCAATCCCCTGGACCTAGCCTAGCTGGGGACTCCTTAACAGATCGCACTGTCCGCTCCACCATGCCATTGCTGGAGGGATGGTAAGGGGCCACTAAAATGTGGCGGATGCCATGTCCCGCTAAGAACATCTGGAAAGATGCAGACGTCAACTGGGCACCATTATCTGACACCAATACGTCCGGGCACCCATGAGTCGTGAACATCTTTCGCAATGCCCTAATCAGAGCCTTGGTAGTGGTCGATGTCATTAGGAAGACTTCCACCCACTTTGAATATGCATCAACCACTACCAGGAACATCTGTCTGTGGAATGGCCCTACAAAATCCAAATGGATCCTAGCCCAGGGAGTCTTGGGGTCCTCCCACTTCCTAGGTTTTGCCGTGGGGGGAGATGGCCTGGTCTGCTGACATTCTGACATTCCAGACACTTATTCACCCACTGTGCAATATCCTGATCCAAACCAGGCCACCACATGTAGCAGGGCCTTCATCCTTATATCCCAGGAAGCCCCTCGTGCAGACAGTGGAGGATAGGTTCCCGCAGTTGAGGAGAAACAACTACTCTATGGCCCCACAGTAGACACCCCCTTGTACCGACAGTTCATGCTGCCTGTGCTTGAATGCAGGAACTGCGAAGTAAGCTGCGTCTCTGGCCAACTCCTCCTCGCCCAATCTAAAACCTGAGTCAAAGTAGCATCCCTAGCCAAATGGGTGGCAACATCTGTAGCTGTTAAGGGACCCAGAAGGTCCTCAATCAGTAAAACTAGGGGGTCAGGATCTGGGTCAGCCTCAGACGCCAGCAAGGGGCAACAGCTTAGGGCATCAGCATGCCCCACCTGCTTCCCGGACTGATAGACAAGTTTATAATTGTATGCAGTGAGGAAGACGGCCCAACAGGACATGTGAGGCTATAATATCACAGGAGTTTGTCTATCGCCTGCCAATAAGCCCAATAAAGCCTTATGGTCTGTCACTAGCTCAAAGAAACGTCCGTACAGGTAGTTGTGGAATCGTTTAATTCCAGCTACCGCTACTAATGCCTCCTTGTCTAGTTGGCTATAATTATGTTCCGGGGGGTGGCAGGGTCCTTGAAAAGTATGCCGGGGCACCTCAGACCCATTTTGGAGCTTGTGGCTCAGGACAGCACCCACCCCAAATGTGACGCGTGACATGTGACCATCAGGGGAAGGTGGTCACAATACTGGACAAGGACAGTATTGGAAGTTAAAAGCTCCTTGACAGCCACAAAAGCAGCTGCTTCTTTATGACCCCACCTCCACGTAGCCCCGCTATCGAGAAGCCAATGTAGGGGTTCCACTACAGAGGCTTTATGGGGCAAAAATACAGAATAAAAATTGAGGAGGCCAAGAAAGCTTGCAATTGGGCCTTATTGGTTGGTACAGGAGCCTGCTTAAGGCTGCTATTTTGGAGGTGGTAGGATGGATGCCCTTGGCATCAATCAGATACCCCCAAAACTCCACTTTGGTTACCCCTATCTGACATTTAGAAGGCTTAAGTTTTAACCCCACCTCCTGAAACTTCGACAACATGGCACGGAACTGCGCCATGAGTTCAGTGCTGTTTCTGGCGGAAATAAGCACATCATCGAAGTACAGGACAACTCCCAGAATGCCGTGGAGCAGTCGCTCCATGAGACTCTGGAAAATGCTCGGGGCTACACTGACACCAAGCTGGAGTTGCCGGCATTAAAAAGCTCCCCTGTGGGTGACGATGGTCTGTGCTTCCGCAGCAGCAGCATCCACAGGGAGCTGCTGATACGCCTGGGTGAGGTCCTGTTTGGCGAAAATGGAAGCCCACTCCAATGTATGAGCAGTTCCTGCTACTACAGGGACAGGGTAGGGGTTGGATTGGAGACCCCTATTTATTGTGCATTTAAAATCCCCACACAATCTAATGGAGCTATTGGATTTCAGAGGGATCACGATGGGAGTCTCCCATTTGGAATAATCCATGGGCTATAAAACTCCTTGGGCTATCAACTTATCCAGTTCAGCGTCCACTTTTGGACCCAGGGCCACGGGGACTCTTCTGGGCTTGAGATGGATGGGAGTGATCGGAGGGTCCAGATTAAAACTAATGGGGGTTCCTTTATAATTACCTAATGACCCATCAAAAACGGCAGCAAACTCCTTCATCTGGCCTTCGAATTGATTAAGACCCACCGTTGCATGCACCCCAGCGACGCTGAGGCCCAGAGCATCGAACCAGTCTAGACCCAGTAGATTGGGGAGTTTGCCCTGGATGATGATGAGGGGAAGCCTGCCCTTAAAACTCGGAGTGACCACTTGGAACCGGCCACTGCCAACTACTGGGATATAGTTTCCCTAATAGTCCCGCAACTTAATAAAACAAGGTAACAGGCGTTTCTTGGCTAGGGAAGGCACCAAATGCTTGATAGTGGACCAGGATACCATAGACTTTGAGGATCCGGTGTATACCTCCATGCAGCAAGGCTTGCCCTCGAGCTGGACGCAGAGGTAAATCTTCTTCCCCAATGTCACATTGGCCTGGCTGGTCGGCGGAATGGCCTGCCACTGTTTGCGGAAGATTGCAAAACAGTCCTCCAATGTGTGGTAAGACCGTGGCTTTGGCATGCAGTAATATGAACGGCCAGCTCATTGACCTTGAGGGGGAGATGGTGCGCGGCACACCTTAGCTAAATGTCCCTTTTTCCCACACTTGTGGCAAATAGCTTATTTGAAACGACACCAGGCACGGGCATGGTTCCCACCACAACCAGTACAATGGCTCTGAGGTAAATTTTTCCATGAGCACCCTACTCCTCCGCCTGCTGTTTTGAGGTGGTCAACCTCAGCCTCATCGGCGTCAGACGAAGAATGTTCTCCACCTCCCCATGATGAATAGGCACAGTCTTAGTAGATAATAATGCAGGGGGTACTGTGGCTTGACCCCTCTCAATCTCGGCGGAGGACTTGTTGGACATCTCAGAGGTGCGAGCCTCATCCAACACTGCTTGCAGGTTGAGCTCAGAACGGGACAGTAAACGGCGACACAGCCTCGAATTGATCACCCCGCACACGAATTGCTGAAGTAGGGAGTCATCTAGATTAGGAAAATCGCAGTGCAATGCTGCAGCCCTGAGGGCAGCCACATACTGGTTCACTGACTCCCCCTCCTTCTGAAGCCTTTGCTGGAATGCATAGTGCCTAGCTATGCGAGACGGAGCTGGGGCGTAATGGTTCTGCAATCTCGTCAACAGAGTCCCCCATGAAAGAGACTGGACTGATTGCGGGGCAGCCGAAGCCCTGGCTGTTCCAAACATCTTGCTCCCACAAGCATTCAGGAAATGAGCCCTCTTTCCCTCATTAGGCAAATTAGCCAAGTGGTTTGCCTCAAGGAAGCATTCGAAATGGTCAATGTAAGCCTCCCAGGACTCTAACCCTAGCGCAAACGGTGCGAAATTGTTCAAAGTTGCCATTCTGAGGGAGACACGTTCTGAGGAGATTGCCTCAGCGATTAGCTGGAAGCCTTGTATTAACAATAAAGTCTACCTTACGTGACACAGCTCTTCCTACACCTCAGGGTATCCCACTTTCGTTGCCAGTATTATATTCGATGGGGTGTCAATGACTGAGGCAAGGCAGAACTCGGCTAACAAGGCTTTATTAAACAGCTAACGCAACAGCAACTCCAGAACCCAAGATTAAGAACAGTTCCCGCTTGATAGCAATTTTTATGCAGGCAATTCTGCGGTTAGCCAATCAGAGAACGTGACTTTCTCGCTCTGGCACACGCGGCGCGTCTCGACCAATGGCAAGCCTTGGTGACGAAGCCACGTCTCTGAGGCTAAGACATAACACTATCGAAGGTGGCAAAATCAGTCTGAGTTATGGGTCACAATTTGGTTCCTTGCTTTTGGCCCTGTAGGAATAAATTTGTGTGTGTCTAAAGACATCTAGTTACCAATGTTCCTCAAGCGTGGCCATTTTAAGATATGTGAACTTCAACTCCCAGAATTCCTCAGCCAGCATGGCTGGCTTTGGCATTCTAGGAATTGCAGTCCACATAACTAAAATAAACCAAGGTTAAGAAATACTGGGTAGACCACCTGGACCCCAGATCAGGCTTATATTCCACAGTCTTGTGACTTGACATTTCTGCAATGGACAACGTAAGAGAAACTTCCCTAAATTTTAAATCTAATTGTGTCTAGGTAATTCTACTTGAATTCTTCATTTTGCCTACCTAATTAGTATAGACACAAATCAAAAGGTAGCTAAATTGAACTAATGTTAAACCACCCCTAGTTCTGCATATTTTCTCCTCTTTGAAGAAGGAACTAAATAATCACGACCATGTATTTCATAGAACAAAATTTCCACAGTTGTTGCCCATCTACCTAACGAGGAAGACATTTTGCTGGTCCTCTCCTCCTGCAAAGGCTCATGGGATGCTAGGAGAGAGTGGGAGGGGAACTTTGCATTTCCAAAATAACCACTTTGAAACGCACTGGGTTTCATTAAGGGCAGAAATTGTTCAAAATGTGTACTTTAAGAAATATTTCCTAATTTAGTGCACAGGAAGTAAAATATGGGTTTCCACACAATTCAAGAAAACCTTAAATGCAGCGGTTTGATGTAAATCGTGCAGAGCCCAGGAAGATGTCAACAGAAAATTGAATCATACCCCTGCGAGCTTATGGGAACACCTTGTTAAATTCACTTTAACTTCCTTCTTTTCAAAACAGCAGTTCTGAAATATATTGGTACAGAAGATCAAGAGGTTTCTAAATACTCTCGCCACTATCGTCCGTTATCTCTTTCCCAATCCCTCGGATCTGCCTCTGATTGGAAGAAGAAAAAGGAGGCAGGCTGCTCTTATCCATCAAGAAAGAAGCCATTAAATGTGAAAGCCATTTTGCTTTCAATCCGGATAAAGAGAGAGCATTTAAAGCAGCGGACTCCAACATTTTGGACACCAGGGTCTGGTTCTGTGGAGAAAGATTTTTTCACGGTCTGGAGGAAATGGCATGGTTTTGCATGCTGCCTACCATCCCACAGGTGGGGCTTTGTGTCGGGGTTCCAAATAGCATCCAAAAGTAATTCAGAGTCCAAGGCAAAGTATTGCTCAAAGTTCCAATTTATTAAGAGAGCCATGTTGGCACATCTGGGAAAACCTGAATCTGAAAGCTTCCCGGTTTTCCCCAGTTTTCCCCACCCAGTTGAAAGTTCAAGAACTTGCCCCCATATCCACAAGTCCATCACATGGTCCAAACTTTCACTGCCACAAAGACAGATTCCTCCCATCCAGTTCCGTTCAGTTGCAGAGATGCAAAGACAAAGGGTGACCTTGGCTTTCTAGAAAGAATTTTGTTATGGCTGGTTCCGTACAATCCCCCCTCCCATTTTCCCACAATAGAAAATGCATAGTAAAATAATAGGGAGTGTGGCAGGCCAAAGATCCAAAAGAAATGATGGCTCCATGGTCCAGGGGTTGGGGACCTCCTGATTAGAGGAAAGTGTCCTTGTGCAAAGAATAATCGAAGGCTGCTTTTAAAAAACAGCTTCTCTTGAAGCTATCAGAAACAATGATGTGGCTGAGGCAAGCTAGAGAAACAAAAACTTAGAAAGAGCTGGCGTTCCCTGCAAAGAAGTGGGTCTCCATGATTGAAAACCAGGGTCTTTTGAATTCTCAAAACAAATTCCAGCTCTTGTGCGGTTAGGTTTTGCCCAAGCTGGGTAGTTTGGAGATGGTGTGTAGTCACAGAGAGACTAACAGTTAAACTGGAGAAGTCAGTCTCGGCTGACCTCAACATACCAAGTTCTGGTCCTTTGAGATATATTTGCAAGCACAGAGGCTCTGATGGGGATTGAACAGGTCCAGAAAGCCTACCTCATGAACCCAGGTGCTCCAAAGCACCCACTTGCCTTGGGAGATGAAGATCCACCCAGTCCCTATGTGAATTCAGGTAGTCCTTGACTTACAATCACAATTGAAGCCGGAATTATGGCCATAGGTCATTGCAGTCATAAGTAGAAGCACTCTAATGACTGGAAGTAACCTTCTGGCTTGTATCATGATTATTAAGAGAACACCACAGTTGTTAAGTGAATGTCACAGTCGTTAAGGGAAGCCATTCACTTGAGTAGGTGTTTTTGCTGAAAACATCGCCAGTCAGTCACGTGACCATGGAATGCCATGACTGGTTGTAAAGATGACTGTCCAATATGCAGTCATGTGACCGGGGGGGGGCAGTGTGACCATTTAAATGGCCAGGAGTGCTCTAGGGCCACAGTTATGACTTTAGCTGTCAACAACCATTCATTAAGCAAAGGCTATCCGTACCCTGACTGTATGTGATGCGTGACAACCTGAACCACAAATTACCACTACTATCTAGCGGTTCTGAAAACCCCATCTTTGTGAGTAGTTTATGATTCAGAAAGTTGTATAAATCATGGAAATCAACTTAGCAAACCACAGCTAAATTAATTGTTGTGCAAACTTATTACAATATGTGTAAATACACTATATTAGGCAAGCGTAGCCACTGTTGGACTGTAAATGGGGAACACAGAGCAATTTCATAAGAAAGAAAAAAGACACACAGTCACTCAGAAATGACTATGGCAAAATTATTCTCTTTGCCTTCAAGTCGACCAGAAGGATGGGCACTGCATATAAGTTGAATGATCTGAAATCTAAAATCTTCTCTTGGAGTCAGGAATTTGCAGGCACCCAAGAGACAAAATTGAATGCAGCAAGGCGTGCTCTCCTGCATTTCTGCTATGCCATAAGCAGCATGCTTTGAATTCCTGCAGAAGTATCCCCCGACTTCAATTCCAAAGTGGGAGCATTCCTGGATAACTTTCCTCTGTGTCATTTTATTACCCGGTGATTTGTTCAAACCATTTTCGTGGGCAAAAAACTGCCACCATACTTATGTTTGTTTGTTTTTAAATATAAATTTATTTTAATTTTAAATTAGTTAATTCTACTTCGTTTCTAGCCCTCTCACCTCCCAATCCCTCCCATTCGTTTCCTAGAGATCTAGAGGTCCTGCCTCCCCATTTTTGAGCCCTGTTTGACTAGCTGTATTCTTCCTATTCCAGGCAAGGCGGGAATCCCGGCTTCCAAGTTGCAATCCAGACCCAGAATCCCCTTCTCCCTTAGGAAGCAGCTGAAGTTGAAGGAGCTTGGTCAGTGGGAGCAGCTGCTCCTGCTGCATTTGCATCCATTGCATCCATTTGGGGTGCACGCTTGCGTTTAAAGAATCCAAGCTGGAGAGATGATAGGGGTGGGGGTAGGGAAGGGAGAGAAACAGATTTAAGTGAAGGAGAAATTGTAATGCAACCCTCAACAGTACTAAAATAACAGACCAGTAATATCAGTATCTTCTGATAACTTTTCTAAAATGTGAAAGTAGCTGCAAAGAGTACTTAGCAGGAAATCTGTTTCTTGCCTCTGTTTTATTTTAGGTCCTGAAAATATCCAGAGCGTACAATTTAGTATGCTAACGCAGTGTTTTTTTTATTTTGGGAAATTTAAGATGTATGGACTTCAACTCCCAGAATTCCCCAGCCTTCCAAGCATATCTAGAAGATCAGACACAACTGAAGAATCAAAGTGCACAGGACAGATGAAGTTAACTTGGCTGGGGAATTCTTGGAGTTGAAGTCCACATATTTTAAAGTTGCCAAGGTTGAGAAACACTCTGTTAATGTATATGAATGTACAGGTAGTCCTCGATTTATAACCATAATTGATCCTGGCAATTACAGGTGTGTAAGTTGTGACAGTCATAAAGCAGGTCATCACATGACTGGACCCCATATTACAACCTTTTTATGGTGGTTGTTCATTGTGGGCTGGTTTAAAGCCATAAATAAATCGTAGTCATGTGACCACAGGGCTCTGCACTTGGCTATAAAGGTGGGCCAGTTGCCAAGCACCCAAAATGCAGTTACATAACACTGGAAGGGGTGACATCAGAACCTCAAAATTCAGGTCATAATTAGATTTCGACTCTGTTATAATTTCAAATGGGCACTAGGTCGTAAGTTCTTTTTTGGTTCTTCCTGCCAGACCATATTCTGAGCTACAAGAGGCTGAGATTTTATGGCGTAGAATGTGAATTGTCAAAAAATATCCCAGGGAATAATAATACTGTCATATCTTACAGCATATGGAGAATGCAGCCTGAATACATACTTTATTTCTATCTGAAGTTCCTGCTAAAAAAATCTGCTGCCCTATTTTGCAATCAGACGGAGGGAAAACCTCCACTAAAACCGATCTGGGTTCTGCGGTTGATTTAAAGTAAAGATGGGAATAATGTCCTGTAAGCCCAGATCCTAGCAAGACCCACATCAAACTGATTGACAGCACAAACTACCAGCACAAACCTTATACAAGACAGCCACTATAATGGCTAAAAGCACGATGCCTCCAATGGTGCTGCCAATGATGATGGGGACAGGATTGAACGGAGAAATTAACTCAATTTCTGTAGTGATCTGAAAAGGAAAGTGATAGCAAGCTTAAGCCTGTTCCCACAACAGGTTTCAATTCTAGGAATTGGTTTACCCCAAAACCTCCTTGCTAGATTCAACTGCAAAACAACCAATGAGACAGCGTAAGAGATTAGGAGAAATTAGCCTTTGTTGCACACTCATTTTGTTATTTATTCCTCTTTGGTGTAAACATTGTTATACAATATGCTAAAAAAGGGGGAAGAACAGTACGCAAAGGAATTGTTGGATGTTTGCTGAACTTTGTTGTTTTCTTGTATTCATTTCATTACTCATCTAGGTAATGTCATCTGTACTAGAGGGCAGTGGGATTGTTCTAATAATGATAATATTACTTAGTTCAGTAATGAAACTAATGAAAACAACCAAGTTCAGAGAGCTCCTAGGACCCCCACAGTTCAACCCTATTTACAAATATCCCCTTCTGTTGGTAAGAAAATGAAAGATGGATGAATCGAGTTGGCATAATATCACTCAGCACAACTCTCCATAACTCACTGAACCGCTTAATGTGTTCTTTAAGCCAGGGTACCCCAACTTTCCTGACTTTGGAATTGGGGAGGGGGAAAGAATTGTTCTGTATAAGTGGTGAGCAAGTGTGCATGCGCAGTTCCATTTGCACGAGTGGCGAGCAAGGGTGCCCATCATTTGCGTACACACTCACATAAGTGGGGATGCACATGCTTCCCACCACTTCGGCGGCCCAGTTCCGAAAGGCTCAGGGCCTGGTAGTAGGCCGCAGCCTAAGAATTTGAGACCCCTGCTTTAAACTTTTTGACTCTTTCATTAGATTCGACCAACCATGACTTTCTCAGTCTTCCCTTTCTTCTCATTCATTCATTCTTCCTTCGTATGTTTCATGCTTCAATCTTCCTTCATTTTCTCTCCATGACCGAATTACCTCAATATATTTTTGTACCAGTCCCTTGATTTTGCATTCAAATCACCTTCACTCAGTTCACATTCATTCTTGACTCTCTTTTGTCATTCTCCCAAGTTCAACTTATTACTGCATTTCTCCTGACAAACCCAGCCCTCATTTCCACATTACAAAATCGGCAGCTGCATGTTTTTTTTTTTTTTTGGTTTTTTTTACTAGCAGCCCCTTCTGTTCCTTTCAATAAAGATCCACTCATCACGACAGACTACATATGGTGGCGGGAAGCCAAGTCCATTAGCTTCCCATCTGGTTCTTCTCTATTGCTTCCTCCTCTCTCCCATTCCCTGTGTTTCAAGTCTATAACAACAAATCCTCTCTGGGCACTTGATATAAAGGTTTTGCCCTTAGCATCTTGAAGATGCTACCAACTTCCATGACTCAGTTGCAGCATAGACTAAGAGAGCTTTCCAAAGAACTTGAGGGCAGGATAGGAGCAATGAGTGGAAACTTATTAAAGAGAGATCTAATCTGGAACTAAGAAAAAACTTCCTGACAATAAGAACAATTAATCAATGGAACAGCCTGCTTTATGGAGTTTTGGGTGCACCGTTGCTGGACGTCTTCAAAAAAAGATTGGACAGACCTCCAAAGTCCCTTTCCATAGTCAAAGAATTATAGGGATGCTATAATTCTATGACTCCTTCCTTGCATTTCCACTGCTCAACCATTAACTCTTTAATTAACCAATCCTAGCTGAATTACCTGGCTGAAATCCTCTGCTTCGTTCAGGAAAAATCTGGTCTCATCCACCCTTATGGATGCTTCGCTGCCAACATGGAAGGTTTCTGACATCAGCTTTAGAAGTGATAAGCAAATGAAAAAGATCAATATAGTTTAGTCAATGAAAGGTCAATGAAAGAGGTCAATGTAACATTGGTCTTGGAGGTGGGGCGAGGGTACTCCTGAGCATATGCAGAGCGACTGGCTTAGACTTAGGCAATCTTTCCCTGGAAGCCTCCCACCCCTCCAATATTTCCTAACAATCGATCTAATAACCAGTTTGGACTAGAAGACCTCCGTGGTCCCATCCACCCTACTATTTTGTATTTTTATATTTCTCTCCTCCTCTTTTGTTTAGCTCACCAATCAGGACTAAAAAAAGAAAGTTCCTTTTTCTTATTTTCCACATATGAATCCCAAATCAAACATCAAAAGTGGGTCTGATAGCTGTTGTAAGCTGTTTCCTTTATAGGAATTATTCATGAATAGAAAATTCTTTAAAATGCTTTCTTTGTCCAAGGTATTTAATACAGAACAATGTAATGACCCTGTTATCAGACAGAGGTGCCACTTACTTTGGAAGATTTATCTTCTCTGTAAAAATCTCCAGAAAAATTGAACCTGATCGATTCTCCCTTAGCAAGAGTGTTGATAAAGCAGTAAATTTTGGGGCAAGCAACAGCCCCCTCACAGCCTCTCTGTCAAAAAAAGGGAAGAGAATTGGTATTGTACGTTCAATCCGTCACAGAAGTAAAAGCTTAGTCTCCCAGGTTTTCAGACTTATGCTGGAGGCCTTCCTTAGGGAACTTTCCTCTATCAAAATGTGTGTTTTGGACTATTTTATGCAAAGTATTTATGTGATGCATGGTTGTGTGTGGCTTCGGCTCCTAAGTATCTGATAAGCTGTTGGTAAATCACTCCTGTTGACTGACAAGGGACCAGAATCCTAGGCTTCAATCATTTCCCTGACTATTTTTGTACCTGCTCAGCCAACAATCTTAGTAGCTGTAAAATTGATTGTATGTTTTTGTTCATTGCGTACCCACAACCAAGCATGACATAAATACTACGCATAGAATAGCCATAGCACACATTCTGAAAGAGAGAAGTTCCCTGAGGATGACCTCCAATCTGAGTCCAAAAGCTTGGAAGACTAGCACTCAGGTCTATTGACCGATCCCGATTGGATCCTGCAATATTATCCTGGGACATGTATATTTGCCTTCATTCATAAGAATTCGTATTGCTGCTTGCATCTGAGACAAAAATGCATATTGGCTTCCATTGAGGCATTTCTTCTCATTAAAAAAAATACCAACCTAAATGAAGGTATATACAGGTAGTCCTTGACTTACAGCCATTCATTTAGTGGCTGTTCAAAATTAAAACTGCACTGAAAAGATGACTTACAATCAGTCCTCACATTTATGACAGGCACACATCTCTACAGACGTGTGATCAAAATTCGGATGCCTGGCAAACCAACATATATTTATAGTGGTTGCAACGTCCTGAGGTCACTTGGTCTCCATTTGCATCCTTTCCAGATGGAAAGGACCACCTGTATGCACTTAACAACCATTGTTAAATGGGTCACAGAATTGGACTTGACTTGCTCAAAAACCATCTTGCTTTGCAATGGAAATTCTGCTTTCCAGTTGTGGTCGTAAGTCAAGGTCTTCTATACTAAATTCTTACCTTGATGCGTTTTGTGACATTCTTCTTGCTGATTCCTGTTCTGAGGGTAAACAATGGTGTGCAGGAGAAGTGATTTTTCTAGAGTTGGGGGAAAGAAAAGTCATTTTGCACAAGTGGAACTTACAAGAAATGTACCAAGCGATGCTATGAAATAAACAGGAGTATCACTAAACATTCATGTGAACATGTTAATGGCCATTTCAAGGTCAATCTTATCTGGAAAAACAATAAATAGTTCAATGATTAGCCCTTCTTTCTTGTATGCTGGGAAAAGTAAGTTCAAATGACTCTTACTCCACCTAAATTGAATTTGCTAATAAATATGTGCTATGGTTTATTTCCAAAAATCTACATATTTGCCCATTATCCTTTTGACAATAACCCTAGCTTATAAAATTCATCCCTATTCTTTCTGGATAAAGGTAGTCCTCAATTTACAACAGTTCATTTACGTTGGAAGCTACAACGGCACTGACCGGTTTTCACACTTATGACCGTTGCAGTGTCACCAGGGTCACATGATCAAAATTCAGATGCTTGACGACTGACTCATATTTATGACCTGACAAGCAAAGTCAATGGGGAAGCCAGCTTCATTTAACAACCTTGTTACCAACTTCACAACTGCAGCGATAGGTTGTAAAATGGGACAAAACAAACACTTAGCAATGGAGATTTTGGATTCAGTTATGGTTGTAAGTTGAGAACTACCTGTATTAGAAAAGTGACAGTTACCAATGTTTATGATTTTGACCAGGCCTGACTTATGTCCCTCCAATAACAACCAACCGGCTCTTCTGTCCCATCTGAGCTTCCTACTCATTGAAAAGCCCTTTCAAAGTATTTCTGCAAGTGTGGGCTTCCCCAAACTGGATGACACCATTCTCATTCAAGTGTTGTTTTAATCACACAAAAACAGACATGCATGGAATAATTTTGCTACAGGTATATATAATACAGGTAGGGTTCAACTTTCAACCACAGCTGGAACTAGAATTTCTAGTGCTAAGCCAGGTTGTTTTTAAATGAGTCACACCTAATTTTACAATCTTTTCTGCCACGGTTGTTAAGTGAATGTCATTGTCATTAAGCAAATCTGGCTTCCCCTATTCACTCTGCTTGTCAGAAGCCACCTGAGAAGATTGAAAATGGTGATCACATGACCCAGGACGCAGCAAACACCCTAAGTACCTATCAATTGACAATTTTGATCCCATGACTGTGAGGAGCCTTCACCTGTTATAAATGTGAGCATTGGTTGTAAGCTGTGGTGGGATTCAGGCAGTTCAGGCCAGTTGTTCAGGCCAGTTTGGCCAAACCGGTTGTTAAATTGCTGGCTGGCTCCACCCCTTCCTGCCCCACCCCTTCAGGAGACCCCACACCCTTTTTGGTCCCAGGAGGCTGCAGGGAGGACTACTAGACCCAAAATGGAGCACGAGGGGGGGTGTCCAGCTTCCCCCTCCCCCCGTGGCCCGCTTTTTTCTCCCAGGGGTTGCAGAAGATTGAGCGCTGCCTGTCACACCCCTGGCCACACCCACCATGGCCACGCCCACCCAGCCAGTCATAAGGGCAGAGAACCGGTTATTAAATTATTTGAATCCCACCACTGGTTGTAAGTCACTTTTTCAGAGCCTTTTTGATTTTAAATAGTTACTAAACAAATGGCTGCAGAGGACTGTCTATATACTTCCAATACTAAATCTTTCCTCCAAGTTTACAGTCTTCCTCCAAACAAGCATTATTCAAATGTTCTCTCTTGCAGGCACTCTAATCAACTAGCGTTGGTGGTTCTTCTTACCTCCTCACTGTAGTAGGATGGTGTTATATTCCAAAAAAAACCATGTTTTGTCTTCAAAGGAAGCTCAAACGTTACATTGATTGCAGTGGCGTTTGAGTCCAAATTCCTCACCTGCCAGAGCATAAAAAGAAATTAAATATATTTGGAAGAAATGGAATCAGGTAGAGACGAAGATGTTGGCAGAATGAATGTGTCAAGAAATCAAAAAGGCCTGGGACTATACCATGTGTAACCAAAAATTGTAGAGTCAACATTGCACCATTAGTCCTGATAGATTTCAATATGCTTGAGGGATTGCTTCATATAGCTATTCAAGGTTTTATTTTAATTACTTTTTTTTCCACAAAGAGAGAAATTTTCTGTCCACCCACCCCAAAAAAGACCTCTCATAAGGACCACAGAGAGCAGGGGTGTCAAATTCAAGGTCTGGGGACTGGATGTGACCCGCGGGGTGTTTAGATCTGGCCTACAGGGCTGCCCTGGAAACAGCAAAGGACCAGCCCACGGTGCCTCTTCCAGCAAAAATGGAGCTCGTGAGGGCCGCATGTGGGCCTCCAGAGTTCCATTTTTGCTAGCAGAGGGTTGCGCGGGGACGTCCCAGCCAAAAAGGGAGCTTGCAAGGGCCCCATGTGTGCCCCCCACCCAGCTCAGTTTTTGCTAGAAGAGGATTGCAGGCCATCCCAGCCAAAAATGGAGCTCGGGAGCCCGTTTTTGCTGGCAGAGTGCTCGGTCCACCACAGATGCCCCCAATATGAGTGAAATCATGCTGGGCACCATGCCCACCTTGGCTCCCCAAAGTCAAACACAACCCTGATGCAGCCCTCAATGAAATCGAGTTTGACACCCCTGCCAAAGAGGGAATTATTGTAGGTAACTATGCAAAGAAAGATAGATAACTGGAATATTGATGGGTTGAGTACAGGAGTACATGCAGATTTATTTATTCACTTTTTAAACTGCATTTGTGAGCCACTCTAGTCACATTGCTCTGAGTGGTGAACAATAAAGCAGAAACATGGTGGAAAAATGAGATCACAAAACTATATACAAATACATGCAGGTAATACTTGAGTTGCAACTGTAATGGAGGTTGCCTATTAACAGCGTAATTCCTAATGGTTCATAAAACAGTTGGTCACATGACTGACCCAATTTTATGACCTTTTTGTGACAGTCATTAAGCAAATATAGTGGTTATAAAGCGAACATCACAGCCAAGGGAATACTGGAGTTGTTAAGCAAACCCGTTGTTCACTATGAAGCGGATTTGCCAAAAACTAGAAGAAAGTGCCAGTTTTCGGCAAAACCAGCATAAAACATGGTCATGTGATTACAGAATACGGCAAACCGCTGTAAATAACGGCGTGTCAGCAAATGCCTGAAGTGAGGTCACATGACCATGGGTTGGGAGGTGGCCGACCAGCAGAACTTCGGATCCGGATCTTAAGTTCTCCTCTTCGAAGTTGGTCGTAACTTCAGTGGTCACTAAACACCTGGTCATAAATCAAAGGCTACCTCAACCTATGCAGATGAATGCCCACAATCAAAAGGACCTAAATGCATCAAAACAAGAAGTTTTAACACTCTTTTGGAATGTGAGGACACAATTTTTTTGAAGCCTATTCCATAATATGGGGCCACCACAAAGAAAGGCCTCTGGTTTCATCCAAGTCCCTCAGACTTCATGAGCAGGATGGGCTCTCAGCAGGCCTGCTTGAGAAGACCAGAGCAGACGGATGGAATCAATTTGGACAAGAAGGATATGGATTTAATTAATTGTTAACCAACAAGGGAAAAAAGACAAATCCATTACCTCATAGCTATGTGTAAGTACTTTCTTCACTGGATCCCGAGTAGAGAAATTGAGATATGCAGTTGATTTAAGCCTAGAAAAGAAAGGAGAGGCCTCCATTGGGATCATGAAAGAGGCAGAGTCTCACTTCTTCCCTCAACAACAACCCTGTGAAGTAGGCTGAGCTGAGAGAGAACGACTGGGCCCAAGCCACAGTAGGCTGTTATAATATGAAGTCCCTGTTGATAATCCAGAACTACTCTGGTTTGCAATTGTGGTGAATATCTGTAGCTCAGGTGTAGGATGAGGTTGAAGGTTCATTCTCCGTGGGACAAATACCTTGTCAATTAAAAACCAGGATCCATGAACACCAGCTGGCAGTCAATCGCCACGATCCCAAACCCTTAATCTCCACCCACACCGACATCAAACAGCACCAGTTTAATTGGAGCAACACAAAAATCATCGGCCACACTACCACCAACCACACTAGTGAGTTCATTGAAGCCTGACACCCCACAAGCAATTCCTTCAATAGACACATCAACCTACAAAGCCTACGAACCCCTCAGAATCCAAATCAACCACACAGCCAACTAGGGACAGCACCGACCCTCAACCAAACCACGCAAACTCACCTCCCGCCAGCAGTTCACTTCCCAATGACCCTGATGTAATCTCCTTATCTCAAGACCCACCACAAGATTCACCAATGACTCATAGCTGACCCATCACAAGACCTTCACTTGACACACCTGAAGCCCTTATCAATAGAAGAACACGGACACTGACATCCCTAAATCTGCAGAAGATGTTACCTAGCCTGGTAATGAGACATTCTGAAACCAAACCCACAAGCTCAGAGAATGAACCTTCGCCCTCGCACTACCCTGGTTCTTGGGTTGGGAAGGTGGAACGAGGGCAAAGTCAACCAGGGAGCTTCTGTGGCTGAGAATGAACTAGCATCCCAGCTCCTTCTTCAACATTTTCACCAGAAACCAGGGTTATTCCTGGGAGGTGGGCTATTGGGGAAGGAACCCCTGATAGAATAGAAAAAGGAGACAGAATTACTCTTTCACGATGATGTTGACGGGATACAAAACAGGTAGCCGTCCGGTAGCCTCATTGTTCTCCTGAATGTTGCTCTCATTCAAACTGGAAGAGACCAAAAAGGAGAAGACAGTTAGGAGAAGACAGTCAAACTTGCAGAGGGGGAAAGACCAGGGGTGGGCTTCAAAAACTTCAGCAACGAGTTCTCTGCCCGGTTTCTGGGTGGGTATGGCTATGGTGGGCATGACCTAGTTGGCTTCCTCCACCACCCCCAGGCTCTGGAGGCTTTCCTCAAGCCTCTGGAGAGTGAGAACTGCCTCACCCAACCTCCCGGCCTTCCAGAACTTCCAGGAGGCGTTTTTCCCACTCCCTGAGCCTCCGCGCGAGCCCTGAACTTACCTCACATCCAAAACGGGCCATGTGGAGACTCCTGGGGTGGGGGCAGCCACAGGAGGGATTTGGAGGTTCTTCGAACTGGCCATAACATTAGCTATGGGTTCTCCCGAATATGAGCGGACCTGTACCAGCCCACCCCTGGAGCAGGCACTCTCTCGGGTTTCTTACCTGTGGGCACGGATGGTGAAGTAAACAAACTTGTCCGGCCAGGTATCACCTTTGGATGAGCGGAAGGAAACCCAGAGAAAGGCCTTCAAGAAGGAAGATCAGAGAAAGCACAGCCTATAAGAACGCCTGTTTTCCTGTTCAACCCCATTTTCTTTTTGTCAGCCCCTCCTTCAGCTAAAACAGATTCTCCCCTCCCCCCCCTATTCAACTGCAGCATCCCAAATACAGGCACTGTATTTTTCAGAGTGTAAAATGCACCAGAGTATAAGGCGCACCAAGATTTTGAAGAGGCAAATTAAAAAAAAAGTTTTTACACTCTGCAAACCTCCCAAAAATGGTCCATTTTTTGCGAAAACGGCCCCATCCCCCCCCCAAAAAGGGTATGAATAGCCCCTAGGAGGCTTGTAGAGTGTTCCGAAGGGGGTTAAAAATGAGCAAAAAACAGGCATTAGGAAGCTTATAGAGTGCTCCTGGTGGCTTTGGGAGGGGGCAAAATTGAGCAAAAAACAGACTGTTTTTTGCTCATTTCTGCCCTCCCCAGCCCCCAGGAGATCTTTGAAAGCCGCCTACAGACTCTGCACAGCCATTTTGGTGAAGGGGTGGGGGTTTCAGGAGGCAGAAAATGCTGTATTCAATATATAAGACACAACCAGATTTTCAGTCTCTTTTTTGAGGGACAAAGGTGCGTCTTATACTCTGAAAAATACGGTAGTTCTCAACTTATGACCACTATTGAGCCCCAAATTCCTATTGCTGAGACATTCATTGACTGAGTTTTGCCCCTTTTTATGACCTTTCTTGCCACAGTTGTTAAGTAAATCACTCCAGTTATTAAGTTAGTATAGTAATACTGTTGTTAAATGAGTCTCTTTTCTCCATTGACTTTGCTTGTCCAAGTTTGCAGTTTTTTATTAGCTTATAATATAAAATACAAAAATACAAAAGCAAAAAGTAGGGGAAAATGGGAGGGAAAGGGAGAAGTGTAGACCAGAAGGGAAAAAAGTAAAAAAAAGTGTTGACTTCTGACTCCCTTCGGTGCAGTGGAATAAGACAGTAACATCAAATGTCACCTTTTCTACTTTTCCATCATAGTATAAACTAGCTATTTCCATAACGACAAATCAATCTAATCAGTAAAACCCAAAATCAAAGTTTCATTTTTCCCCACCTCAAGCACAAAGTCCAGAAGTGGTTTCCAAATAGAAACAAAAGTACTTATATTCTTTTCTTTGATCAAAGCAGTCCATTGATTTTGCTTTTCAGAAAGTAATAAAAGGGGATCACATTATCCCAAGACACTGCAGCCGTCATAAATAGGAGTCAGTTGCCACGTGTCTGAATTTTGATCACGTGACCAGGGAGGTGCTGCAACGGTCATAAGTGTAACAAGTGGCCATAAGTCACTTTTTTTCGGTGCTCTTGTAACTTCGAACAGTCACTCAATGAACTGTTATAACTTGAGGACTACCTGTTTTTTGGATGCTGGTTCCCATTGACTCCAAAACCTCACCACCCTGCGTTGTTCATTGTGGTGGGAACTCAAAGAGCCTAGTTTGTAAAAACGTTATGTATTTGCCTGTTTCTCTTTTGGTTATGGAATTGATTCTGTTTCCACAATCACTGGGAGGAACGAGGAATGGAACTTGCTTATTTATTTATTTGTTTGCGTATTTATTTATTAAATGTATATGTAACTTTGGACCGTGAGATGGGTAGCATATACAGCGCAAGGTTTCTAACATCCACCAGTCCCGTGATGTCTGAAACTCTGGTGAACTCTATGCACAAGAAGGTTAAGGCAGTGCTGGAAAATAATGGTGGCCACACAAAATATTAACACTTTGGTCCCCATTTGGACATTATCACTTAGGAGTATACTCACTTTTGTTGCCAGCAGTTTAGACATTAATGGCTGTGTGTTGTGTTATTTTGAGGGGACAGCACATTTACACTGTTATACAAGCTGTCTACTCACTACTTTACATTGTGGCCAAGTGTCATTTCTTTAGTGTAGTCACATGGAAAGATATACTTAAATATTTACAAAATGTGAGGAGGTGTGTTCACTTCTGTGATATACTGTACATTTAATAAATAAGTGGAACACTGTAATCTGTGCCCTGTCTCTCGATTCCTTTTCCGCTTTTCCCCTGCTGGTTTTTAAAGTTGCATTCCCATCATGGTTACATTTACAAACGTACAGAGTAGAAATCTTTTCTTTGTAAAACAAGAGAACGCTGAACTCCCTCTCTTCTCTGCACAGTAATTATATAGAACTGGGATACATAGCTAGCCTTGCTTATATTGCCATCCTGCAGACAGGAACATTTAATTTTTCACATTTTGCTTTCACACACTTTGGTTCTCACGGCTGTCCTTTGCTTCTGTGCTTGACTTCATTTCCCATGTCTTACCCGAGTGCCTGCCTTGAGAGCAGGTGGCCTGAAGTGGCAGGAGCTATGGCGTACGGAGGCATTTCCTGGGAATGCATGCATCCGACAAGCCGGGAACAGAGGCCAGTTCGACTTGAAGCAGAAAGAGAATATATATATATAAATATATTTAAATCAGATCATGACCAGGGAATATAAAGGAAAGTGATATACAAGAACCAGGCTATTTGCCTTTTGGCAAGCTTGTCCAGGAACCCAAAATGTCAATAGATATATACTCTCAGTTATACCTTTGCCAAAATACATTTAATGGGAATGCAAGCATAGGCTTCTTCAATAATATTTCCAAGCTATGAAACTAAAACATATGAAGAACAGTTGTTGGAATTGTGTATGCCTAGTTTAATGAAACTAGGGCTAAGGGAAACATGATAGCAGTGTTCCAATATCTCAGGGGTTGCCACAAAGAACAGGGAGTCAAGCTATTCTCCAAAGCACCTGAAGGCAGGACACGAAGCAATGGGTGGAAACTAATCAAGGAGAGAAGCAAGCTAGAACTAAGGAGAAATTCCCTGACAGTTAGAACAATTAATCAGTGAAACAACTTGCCTTCAGAAGTTGTGAATGCTCCAAAACTGCAGGTTTTTAAGAAGACACTGGACAACCATTTGTCTGAAATGGTGTAGGGTTTCCTAATAGTCTCCCATCTGGGTAAGATCTAAGCTGGTTTGATGTTGCTTGACTTTTTCTAGATTGTGGGGTACTTGGTGGTCTCTGTGCATGGCTGTTTGCAGACATTTCATTACCTAACTAGGTAACATCATCAGTGCTGGTAAGTGTGGTTGTGGTTTTTTTTGCTCCCTCTTTATATATAGTGGTTGCAGAGGTGGTGTTCAGCAGGTTCTGACCAGTTCTGGAGAACCAGTAGCAGATATTTTGAGTAGTTGGGAGATCTAGTAAATACCACCTCTGACTGGTCCCACCCCCATATATTCTCTTCCTCCCGAGTCTCAGCTAATCGGGAGGGAATGGGGATTTTACAGTATCCTTCCTCTGCCACGCCCACCATGCCACACCCACCAAGCCACACCCACAGAATCAGCAGTAAAAAAAATTGAATCCCACCACTGAGTGGTTTTATATTTTTCTTGCTAGCTGATCTTCTATGCTGAATGTACAAAGGCTGATATTATTGTAGACCTGCCAACTCAGCAAGGTCCTACCTGCCAGGTGACCCTGCTGGTGACACCTGAATTCTGAACTACAAAACTCCAGCATCTCAACCTTAATCCCACTATTCTTTTCCTCCCCACTATAACCTCCACCCCAAAAAATTCATCAAACTCACATGAAGAACTGAAGCTCCCTGGAAAGATAACACTGAAGAGTAATTAAAATAAATGGCGGGCTCATATGCCAATTCTCCCAGATTTTCTAGTTTCACTGTTAAGTTCAGTATGAAATTTGGGCTCAGCTTCAGTCCTTTAGATCTGAAATACAATAATGGGAAATATTTCCTCAATGCCAAGGCCCCCTGGTGATTTCCTATCTCCTTGTCTCCACTTCTCTACATCTAGAAAATAAAAATGGTCACTAAATATATTACAAGAATTACAAGGAAATGAAGGCAACATCTTCTATCCAATGGCCTATGTTAGCAGCACACAAAAAAACGGTAAAAATGGGGATTTGGTGGGCCAACCTTTATTGCAAATCACTAAACTGCCCGTCTCCAGCACAAGAGGACTGAAAGAAACAGATACAGGACAGAATCCAAGCGCTGCATCTCAGACCCATTATATAAAGGGATTGGTGGAAGAAACAACTTTCACAGTTCTGGTATTTTATATATGACTAGCTGGAAACCCGTGCTTCACTTTGAAATTATATGATTGGCCGAGGTGGTGTACTGCCGGTTTGGACTGGTTCATCCAAACCGGTAGTGGAAATGGCAGTTGGCCCCGCCCACTTGCCCCAGGTCTACCGCATACCATTTAGGCCCATTATTTTAGGAAAAGGGCATGTGCGGATGGCAGAGCACGCTCATGCTCACATTTGCGAACCGGTAGAGAAGGTAAGTAAATATCACCCCTGGTGATTGGGCTTGATACATTGACACTTAAAGCTTGAAAATTAATGTAGAATGTGTAACACCTTAGCATCAGAGCATGTTATTATAAGGCAACTGGCAGTTGGAACAGAATTCTTTTCAGGTGGGGAGGGGGAGTAGAATGTCTGAACTCTCAGCCCACAGACCGGTTGAATCTTGCGCTGGGCATGCCCACTTCTGGTTTAGTGAAGGGGTAGCATCAGAGCATGTTAATATAAGGCAACTGGCAGTTGGAACAGAGTTCTTTTCATATGGGGAGGGGTATGTATGTATGTATGTATGTGTGTGTGTGTGTGTGTATGTATGTATGTATGTGTGTGTGTATGTATGTATGTATGTATGTATGTTTGTTGTGGCCCAGCAGGAGCTGTTGGAGCTGCAAATAGACTCCAATAGCGAGGGACCCTATGAGTCGGCTCTGGAGGATGTGGAGGACCCTGGACAGGGTTCAGACTCCGAGCAGGGACCAGAGAGGCTGGTTGGCCACCAGGAGGCACCTGAGGAATGGAGCAGCGATGAAAGCCAAAGGGAGTGTGTCCCTGACGTCAGGCTCTGGAGCAGTTGTGAAGACATCACAGTGATGAGGTGCAGAGAGAATTGGTCCTGG